TAGCGGCCATGCTGCATTCAAATAATGCGGTGATGTGCTGGAAAAGTGCACTGGAACTAGCAAAACAAAAGAAGCACCATTACCCAAAACTTAGTGCAAAATGGCTTTTCATAAAACCTGGATATGATTCAAGATATGGTTTCGGTAAAGAAATTTTAACTATTGACTCCTGAAACAAAATATCTTCTTAACGGGTAAGAAAAGTGAAACATACATGAAAACCACTTGAGAAGAGTTTAACCTTGTTTACTAAAAAGGGATTATACCGTGCCAGTATCACCTAAATGTGCAGAAGAGCAGAAATTAGATCTACCCTTATCTTTAGTGCCTCGCCAAATTGCTATTAAAATGTTCTTAGTTATTTATGCATCATTTTAAAATTATCTTAAATATAAAAAGTACACAAAAATTATACCTAATATATTAGTTATAGAGTATAATAAATACTGTAAGCTCACCATCTAACTCAATAACTAGAACAATAACAACTTATATCTACCTGTTTCTCCCCATTCCACACACCTGTCTCTACCCTAGAGTTAACCTTTCTATTAAATTGTCTTTTATCACTTTTTCTTTTTAAAAATATTTTTTAAATTTATTTTTAGAGAGAGGAAGGGAGAGGGAGAAAGAAATATTGATGTGAGAGCGAAACATGCCTCCTGCACGCCCCCTACTAGGGATCAAGTCCACAACCTGGGCATATGCTCTGACCGGGAATGGAATCAGCAACCTTTCGGTGCACTGGACGAAGCCCAACCACCTGAGCCACACAGACCAGGGCCAGCACTTTTTCTGAAGTTTTTATTCCCGTTGTACTTATGCTTCAAAACTACTCTCGCTCCTCCGGGGCATAAGACTAAGCCTGACGACTCTCACACCCACTCAATGTGGATCTCATTTCCTCGAAGCTGAGCACAACCGCTGACAAGCTACACATTTCATACCTCCATGCCATTGCTCAAGCTCTTTCCTCTGCCTAAAATGGTCTTTTTTTTTTCTTTCCCCAAGTCTTTCAGATCCTACCAGGCACAATTTATCTCTTCCTTTCTTCATGATTCCAGAGCATTTTGTTTACAGTGCTTTTACACACGTTTGTTTATATAGTTTTAAGACTGACTTATATTACATTCAGTTATATATACATTTGTTTTCTCTAAAAGATTATGACTATAAACCATGTCAGTGATTTGTGTAGTTCCTCCTCTGATCTTATGAACATAAAACACAGTGCTTAATAGATGCTTATGGAGATAATGTGCTAGCATGAGTTTTCATAACTAGGTTGCAGCTATAGCATTTTAACTACATTATACTAGATTACTAGTAGTAAATTAAATCACAAAGTATTAGTTCTAGAATAAAGCAATTCTTTGTAAAAAAAAATAAAGATGATAATTTTAAAATGTTTTCAATTTCTTCAACAAAAAAGAAAGACATATAAAAAAAAAAGTTCCCTCAAGCTCATTTAAAGTAAAACAGACAAAGGATACTTCCCTCAATACATATTGAGGCATGCCCTATCATTAATTTTTCTTGCTATAATCAAGAGTAATCAGAATATAAAACCAAAACAGGCTTACCACTTTTAAAACAAACAACAGAAGTATAATTATTTGATTCTGACTAATAATTATTCCAGCATCAGTGCATCCAGTTACATTCATAGGAAGTGCTAACCTCTTTTTCCCCGAGTACCATTCAATGAAGAACCAATGCAAAACAAGAGGAAGCATAGCCATGAATCCAAGATAGAGCCAGTCATAGAGCTCTGGAGACTCTGTGCAAGGCTGGCAGTACTTCTGTGCGTTTGTTCTCTGTCCTCTGGGACACACCTACAACATATAAAAATAATATTTTATGTACAGATATTACTTTAGAACATTAGCACCCCCAAAAATCTTTCTATAAAATGTCCCATTTCTGTTTAAACATCTATTTACATGTGCATCCTTCAGATATAAAAAAGAGAAAGCGTAAGTAAAACAAAAAGAAATCTACACTGTATTTGCCTATATCTGTATGAAACCAACTGTAAAAGGAGTCCTTTTACTAAGTTACTAAAATAGTTGACTAATATTAAATGACAAACTTAGCTATTAACATCGTATAAAAATAATTGCAAACAAGTGTTCTGGAATTGTAATGTTAACTGACTTGCATATCCAAGTCACTGTACTGTATCATTAATAAAAAGTAATTTAAAATTACTCTAAAATTATAAAATGTTCTTAAAAACACAGTAACTGTGACTGTAAAGAAAGATGTATTATAAACAATCAATATGACAACACAAAGATTTTATTAATGCCTACATAGTCTTTTAGAAATTAATGAGTAGACTGAAGAAAAAAGATATACTACATGTGAAAATATTTCAAAAGCAAAAAGATTTTACAAATGAACATACAAACATTAAGACTTACCCCACATTCTCCATACAGTTCAGTTGAGCCATTTTTAAATAATAGGGTCTTCCCACAGTAAAGTCCGAGGCATGCTGGTTGAATATCGACAGCTTTTTAAAAACAAATGCCAGTACAGTAACATCTTTTGTGATTATAAACAAATAATGCAATAATAGTTGCAGCGCTTGGCAGAAATATCTCAGTACATTTTCAAATAAAATAATCATATGTACCGTGGCAAAAGTCTTGTGCATTTATTTTAAAAATTAAATTTCTCCTTTACACTGTGACACGACACTGCACAAAGCTGTACTGGAACCTTGTTGTTAATACTGTTTCTCGTGATGAACATCCTCAGTCCTCTACCTGCGGGTCAGGAGGTATCCCTGGAACTCAAAGCCTAACCTGGCCCGTCTCCAGTAGCTCCAGCCAGCACTCCCCTTGATTAGGTGGTCTAGCCTTCTGATGGTTTTCTAATAAGAGGATTGGTAGAGGATCACTACTTTTTATTTTGCTCAGTCAGGACATTAAGTGCATGTGCACAAACACACACACACTATCTACTATCACCTTCTTTCATAACAGGACACATTTTAATACCAGAAAAGCGGAAAGAACATAATTTCAGAATAAAGGGCGGGCCTTTAGAGTAAATAAATTCACCTTTATAAAAGGCTTACTTACATTGTCCTAACTTTTGTCAAGGACAGCTGACAACTTCATCAAGGCTGTCACGGGTCCTCTGACCAATACTTGGAACCACTGCCTGAATCAACCCCCTGATCTTGGAGGCTCAGGGAAATTAAAAGCAGCTGTTCTTTACAAAACCACTCAGGGCCCACAGACTGTCTTTGACCTCATCAACAGGTAGAGGTTATTGAAGGAGGGCTTTTTTTTTCATCAGGGACATTTCCCTTCCTTCATTGATTCACTCATTCAACGAACATGCATTAAATGTCAGATTCCACTGGTCAGAGACAACTAAAGATCCAGAGGGACATGGCAGTCCCTGCCTTCACGGAACCTTTAGCCTCGTGTGGAATAATTCCAAAACAACTGTGGTCAAATGCAAATTAGAAAATCATGCATTTTATAATTATGATGAACAATCATTTTCCAAACTCTTCATGAATTCACAATCTAGAGACTGTCTGGTCCACAATGCCCGTTCTCCTTTCAAATTTGAATAGACTTCTGATTTTTTTCTCCTGTTGCAGTTGAGAAAAAAAAAAGCAACAGAAATAACACTAAAATGCCTCAAGTCTAATAGTTTCACTTTTATCAAATCTTTGAGTTTGTTTCTTTTTTAAATTCCCGGGCTTCTTTGACGCTTATTTTTAAACCAATTGTAATCACAATGATCTAAGCTAATGCATGGAAATGAATTGATTTTTTGAGAAGCCCCGGGTTAAAGAATTGGAAGTTTTTCTACACAGGCTTTGCCTATAGTAGATGCTTAATAAATCTATTTGAATGTAAGTCAAGTTTCTCAAACCCCAAGTCCTGAAAACGAGCACCAGCTTATCATCGGCCAAACCAACCCTGACTCCCAGCGTCCGATCACTTTCCTTACACTCCCTGCAGCTAGCACTCTGACTTGGTGTTTTGCAATCTCTGTGACGGGCCCCCTGCACTCACGATTGATGCTGAAGCGGAGACAACAGCTATGCGGCCATCAGCCTCTGCTCCCGCGCCCTAAGCTGTGAAGTCCAGGACTGACGCGGAGACTGAAGGAACGCTCCGACCGCAGCCACGGAGGCCTCTAGCCCATCCCTCCCCGCGCGCAGCGGCCTCCCCTCAGCATCCG